TAATTGATTTGAAATAGTTATGATTGGCGAAATTAGCTAACCTCGATTAGGGCCGTACTGTGGCTTATTATTCATGATTATTGCGTATTAGTTCGATACGATTACGCAATACAGATTCAAACTTTGCTCACTATCTTAATAGTTTGATTAATGATCTTAATTAACTTACATAAGGGCGATTGTAAAAGCTAAAATAACTAGCTGATAAGCATCAAAATAGAAGCCAAAATTAGTATATGGTATACCGGTGTAATCAAATAATGCTTTATTATACAGTAAATCAAGCTTTAGCTCAATATTAGAATAATAAAATGATAGTAACTAGTTTAAATATTAATAATAGTTGGAGGTAGCTAACAAATTGGTTATACCGGCCATACAATGACGTAGTACTAACTTGATTGATTTATTGTCATTAATCAAATATGAATAGTAGCTTCCATCTTGACAAAAGTAAAGTATTTTGCTAGTTTACATCATAATCACTCTATTGATTAGTATATAAGTATATGTGTGGATAGTTCAAGTCTGCTTAAATTATTATCATAACAGAGAACTAATACTTTATTAAGTAGCATTGGAACCCAATAATGAATGCTTCATACTCAGAATCGTTCTTGTTCTATGATACGCTATAATTAATTAATTAATGTTTTTCGTGATTTCCGAATAAAACAATTTTTGCTTGCAATTGTTATCTATGATAAATTATTTAGGCTTTATTCGTAAGTTATACGTTAGATATTGCTGTTAGTAGATTTCAAGTAATTGTAATAAAAGTATTTTAATATTCACATTTCTAGAGTTTCAAATTTATGGATAGACAATAGAAATAGCAAAGTATTGTCCATAAAGCATTTCTGTAAAAGGAATTTAGTCTGAATAAAACAGACTTGATATTAAATTTCTTCTCTTTCGATGATTGAAATTCTTACCAAGCAGATTACTTCATGCAAAATGTCACCATAGAAAATATTAGAGATAATTGTATAGTATAGGGTGTATAGTCATGATACAATATCAGAAAAACTGCATGATTTTAAATCCTACCCTATTGGAAATACAGCAGAAAGAGCATAGTCGATGATGCATGTATTGAATTACAGCAATTATTCAGAAGTAATCTGTTAAACATGATCATCATTTGCAATTGATATTTGAATTGTATTTATTACTAGTTGTCTACTCGTATGCATGCCAATATATCTATAAATACAAAGCTGGGCAAGGGTCAATCAATTATACGAAGACTTCTACCGCAATAGGTCCTACCGGTAGTGATCGATTTTGTTTATTTTACTATTCGCTTCTACTTCCGTTTTATTCTATGAACTTTCACTATCAATTGCAGATATTTATTCGTCAGTACATTAATTAATCATGATTTGCTTTTAAATAAGCATCTCTCAAATTTGAACTGATTTAATTATACCTATATCGCCATATCACCTTGTATGAATCCGACAATCAGCTAACCATGTGCTCTTTTCTTATTCGCTTTATAGCAATAATTTTGCAAATACGATGATGAAAGGTTTAGGAAAGATTAGAATCTAGATGATCACATTACGTTGATTGTGATGCCATCTTTAAAATACTAAGTTAAGAATTAGGCGGCTTTTGTGTTTATTACGTCTATTTAAGATTACTTAGACAACGATAGCTGTAAATTTGTGCTCTGTGTTAAGAATATCTTTTGGCCGTAAACACTAATCATTGATAAAATAAAGGGAAAAGCGAACAATATTGTTAATTTTTCCTAGAAGAAAGGAAGCATTGTCTATTTGAACTTAGCTACGAAGTTACGCACTGCGATAGATAGTAGTTTTATATCAGTAAAATAGAATAACCTAATAAATGCGCACTTCCTGACTAATTAAGGAGAAAAATTGATAAGCTACAGTGACCAGGAAGTAAATAGCTTCTTCTAGCTTCTCATGACTCCTTCTTTCGATAATAAATTTAGCTCTTCTATTTCTACAGCTGTTCTAATTTATTTGCTTCTCCAGAAATGATTATTCTAAATTAATTTATCATTCAGATAGCGTCTTCTAGACTAAACAAGACAATAAATGAGCATAAAGTGTTAAGGAATTTCTTTTAAATGGATTCTGTTTGTCTTGAATGGCAAAGAGTAACTTATAATTTATATAATAATTTTCGCGGCAACCATACCATAAAAAAAAGCGTATATCTTAGTAAATAAATTTTAGGGCAGGACATACAATATTTTACGGTCTCGAGCTAAGCTAATATCGCTGCGTTAAGAGGTACTTCGAAGAAAAAATATTACTTACCTAAAAGATAAAAAAACACGTACTAAATCTATTTACAGCCAATCAAATTTTCCTTAAACAACTCTAACTCAAATATATTAATCTACTATAAAGGTTAATGCTTAGGCAAGCACTAGGAATTGATAAATTTTTTAGGAATTTAAGCTTTATTTTATAGATTCAAATCAGTAAATTGAGAAAATACACTATAAATGCTACTCATCCATTAATGCCCTCTCCCTAAAGTACTGTATAACTGTACATAGTCGATGATATTCTTCTAATATAGCGGATAAATATGCATTAGGATGCAGAGTTTATTTGATTTTGTGCCGTTGCTCAAAGTTGTCTAAAGGCAATTTTAAAAAATAATCATGGTATTTAGTACTAGTAAGGTAGGATCTACTGTCTAGCTGAAATTATTACTCTTATAAGAAGTAATATTGACAATCAGAAAGTAGCTAAAAGGATGTCATTGACTGTGAAGTTTAACTGAGCCAAAATTCTAATAGAACAAATTATTTCAGACTATGATAATTTAGTGAACAATGATGCCAGAAATAAAATTCCTTTTTAACAAGACATTTTCTGTTTCTTGGTATGCCTATACCAATTCAATTTAGACTTAGATGAAAATTGGTAAGTGCATGAAATATCTATTTTACTAGGAAATAATAGATATCAGTAATCAATCTATGTCATAATGTGACGATAGATTTATTGAGTTATAGAATAGTTATCGCATCCACCATTTTGAAAGATACCGCAGTCTATCATAATTGGCAATTTACCTATTCATGCCCATACAGAAATTGGTAAAAATTGAGAAGCTCCAGGACAAATTAAAATCAGTACTGCTATCAAGCGTATGATTGGGTACCCTCCCAATCTATCGACCTCAATTATTTTTAAATCTGTATACTAGGTAGCCATGATATGACTATCAGTATCTAAAGTAAAAATTCGATCAATTAATTAAAGTTGTAGCCACATCGTGATGGAGTCTATATTATCGCGATAAAATGGAAATTTAACTCGTTAGACTTGACTATGTTCGCGATGCTATATGATATTAAAATAGGATTAATCGATATTGTAGCGATTGGTACCCAAAGGGTAAATGTTAATTAAAAAAACAAAGCCAATAATCTTCCAATGATGTTAGATTTAGTTTTTTATATTTATTTTCTTCCATTTATAAAATTGTTAATACGATATGGTGGTATAGAATAATTTTTTAAAGCAGAACATGAATATGTTAAAATTTCCTTTAGGTCTCTTTCTGTACAAAAGTTACGGAGACTCGATGATCATACTATCAAATACTTATTCTATACATTGGTAAATGATTACAATGAAATTAATTTGCTATCATACGGTCGACATTTAGAGTGAAGATTTTTTAACTATGTACAAGATTATATGACACGTTTATTCACGGTAGAGAGTGCACAAGTTTCAGGTTAGAATTTTTCTTGTAGTACAACCATTCAGTATGTATTTCGGAAAGATTCTAGCTCATCAATGAATATCATCAGGTATCATATGTAAAACAATAACCTTTGCTCTTAAAGATGAGAGAGCATCCATGGCTATGAGCGTTAGTTGATAAAATGGATTGAGCGAGTAAGTTTTAAGTTTTGTTTTTTGTGCATTATAACACAGTAGTATATTTGATAGAAAGATCATAGCTCATCCATTAACATCATCAACTAATACACATAATATTTTTGCCCTCAAAGATGAGAGAACTTTCGTTACTCATGAAAGCTAATTGATAATTTAGCATTTGATGGAAATATTATAACTCAGCCATTAGCATCACAATTAATACAAATACATATAACATTCTTTGCCCTCAAAGATGAGAGCATTTATCACCAATGAACGTTAGTGGATAGATTAGCATGTATATTTCAAGTTCCATTTTTTCTTGCTTTATAACACTGTATTATATCGAACAGAATGATTATCGCTTATTCATTATAGTTTCAAGTTCCATTTTTTCGTTGCCTGAAAACACTATAGCATTCCGGATAGAAAAATTGCAGCTCTTCAATTGAAAGATTTCAAGTTTTATATTGCCCATTAAACTGTAGTATTCTACATGGATAGATTGCAGCTCATCCATTAGAGTTTCAAGTTTTATATTAGCTATAAAACTGTAGTATTCTACATAGAGAGATTGTATCGCATCCATTAAAGTTTCAATTTTATATTACATAGCTTTATAACATCATAGTATGTTAGATAGAAAGATCCTAGTCTTTCAATTGATATCTATGATAGTATATAAACCAATCTTTACCCTTTAGGATTAGAAAGTATAAACTGGTAATGAGCATTTAGCGATCATTTATTTAACGCACAAGTTGGATTTTTTCCTCCTGTATAACATCGTAGTCTATTGGATGGAAAGATTATAACTTATTCATTGAATATTAGTAACGAGTATAGCAACAGCAGTCTTTACCCTTGAAGTTCGGAGAACATAAATTGGTAATGAATATTTGTTGATCATTTCTTTAAGGTAAACGATAGAAATCTTGTAGCTTGGCAATTTACCATCTTTCATTGCGTGAATGAGTAGTTGGAGGGTCATGAAGATTAACTTGATGAGCAATTGGTGCATGTTGTACGTGAGCTAGATTTGGTAGTAAAATTGCTAATTTTCCTAGCATGAGGGTTTGATAAACTTTCGCCACGCGATCTCGCTTCGCCCGTGGATAAAATTTCTACAACACTACGTCGAAAATTGCGATTATAGGTACCATAAATTAATGGATTTAAAGCTGAATTAATCAGGGATAGCCAAGTTAGGAGTAGCATCACTATTGGTGATACAGTATGATGAGCTAGTTGAGGATCATTTCTTAACTTAAGTTGTACTTGATAAATAAGTAAAATCATCCTTGGCATCCAACATAATATAAATGCTCCTACAATAACAAATGTTGTCTTAGCAGCTTTGGAATTGACACGGCGATCATGTTTAGGCGATAGAGTTAACGTAATATCAGATATTCGAAAAAAGCTGCGACGAGCTACTCGATAAATTAAGCAATAAACGATGAAAATGCCTAATGTATAAGCTAGAAATAAATTAATAAATAGGATTATAAAGTTATAACTATCGGCAATAGATAGCCAACACGAAGCTTCGCTTGGTAAATAAGTATAGCGACCAAGTCCAAATTGATGTAAACCAAAAAGGGGTAAAGATGCTAACAAGATTGAAAATGACCAAGCTATCATCAAGTAAAAAATAACTCTTTTACGTGAAATGATACTACAATATCTTAATGGACGTAGAATAGCAATATAGCGATCAATACATAAGCCGACAATAACACAAACCGATAAATTACTCATAGCAGTTTGGATTACACCGCTCACTGAACAGAAAGCATCGCCAAATACCCAATTTTTGGCTAATAAGGTTACAATTAATGTTGGCATAGTAAAAAGACCAATCAAAAGATCGGCAATAGCTAAGCTAAACATTAAGAAACCAGTAGCATTTTGTAGCATAGGTTTGTTAAAGATGACCGTAAGGACTGCAGTATTACATACAATGGTGATGATAGCCACTATAATCATGGCGATCGTCAGACTGGCTGCAACTACATCAGAAAATGGCCAAGAACAGGAGCTATTTATCGAATGTTCCTGGCAGGTCTGATTTAAGTTTACCATCTTGTTATAATGGTTGTATGGAGAGTTATAGTATAGAAGATGATGAAAAAATCAAAACAGTTTAATTAAATTTAATATATTAGAGTAATTTTTTATCATTAGGCAATGAAATCAATCTTCCACTGGGCGAAAAATTAAAAATTATCCTGATAAAAATGGTTTTCTTGTCTCTTTTTGTGAGACAAGTTTAGGTAGCTATGAATGATTGGCGATAGTATACTTGATTTATCAATTTTCATTGATTAATGTGGAAATTGGTTTGTCTGAATTTTGCTATTAGCCATTCAGTTGCATTATTTCATCTTCTATTTTACAGAAATGGAAGACCATAGGATATTAGTAATATTGGTTGAAAGACTTGAATTCTGCCGTAGATAGAAGGTCAAAAATAAAGGACCAACATACAGCAAATCTGGAATAGACTTGAAGATGGATCAATCAGAGTAACTTGTTGTAAATCGTTGAAAATGGATCGAGTAAGGTGTTGAGTTCTTTTTTGTACACCACACCAATGGAATATGGGAAAAGGTGTTGGCTACAAAATTCAAGGTAGAAGAAAATGAAAGCCAAATAAGTTAGACTACAAGCATGAATGATTCATTGGCCATCGACAGGAATCGTATTCAAAAGTTGAGAGTATACTTTAGTTTAATGTTGTAGGAGAGAAATTACAACTCTATTGTCTGATTTATTCACTTCTCCACTATTGTAAGATTAACATTTATGTGCCATTAGGAGCAATGATAGGATAATTCCATTTTTTTTCCTGCATTTGTTATGTAACTGTTGTTTTTTTTCTGTTAGTATCCACGCCTTTGGTAATAGATTATATGTGTGTTTTATTTTTTCATGGGTTCTTTTTTCTTTCCTCTCTCACTCGGCCTGTCTTAGTTTGTCCTTTTCAATTATAGTTGATATAAAAATTACTATATTGTATAGAAAAGAGTGCCTTTTGATTAATCTTGATTAATTATACACTATTTTATTTGGCTAATTTTTAAGCTATTCATGACAGAACAAAGTCTTTCTTATCATTCTTTCTCCCTCCTCCTTCCATTTTTGCAGTGCGTAATTTTTATTTAATTCATCCTCTGCTGCTATGGCTACTTTTCTTTTTCAGTCACATCTTTTCCTCCTATTATCTACATTAATTTAATAATATTGTACTTATACTGATAGAAGAGAGTATCATGTAGTTAATTAGACAATAGGTATAGTATCAAGGATAGGTAAATTAAAATTATTTTCTCTATTCAAAAATAGATCGGAGGTATAATGATGTTATGTCCCAGTTGTTTACTATTTTCCGTCAAAATAGAACCAAGAAGTATCCTATCAATAAACAAGTTTCGATAGGATTTTGTAAGTAATTCATTTCTCTATTCTAAATATAGTTAAGGCAATCTAGAAGGTCTTTTATTATTAGACTTTTCCTCGATATCCATAGCCGCATTTTAAGATCATTAACCTTGATACTATCAAAAATAGAATAAGACATTAGCCTCAATTTAAGAAATGTAATCCATTGAAATAGTCCACAGTATGATTGTTAATTAATAATGTTTTCTTAACATTGGAAAATTAACAATTTCTTATTCGCTAGCAGTGACGATTATCATCATAATGAGGATATATTTAGCTGCAATGGGGGTAATTTATTTCAATAGGGTATTACATTGTTTTATTGAAATCAAAATAGCCTATACTATTTCACTTGTATCTTAATTAGTTATTGAAGAAAGAGATTTTAGGGGCATATGTTTTACTCATTTACCTTCAATTGCAATAATAGAGTGATGAGAAAGTTGCCTTGATAACTATATAAACTTGTATTCTTTGCCATTTGCCCACGCATTCGGCAAAACAACTAGACATGAGTTGGCGGTAGTTCACAATTTCCTTAAAAAAATCAATTCTCTCCATCTCCTTTTCTTGACAACGCTTCGATCCCATCTGTAGGCTATTGTATACACCAACTTGATTTTCTCAATCCAATACAACTAACTTCTTGTTAATGATTAACTCAACGCTATTCCATCCATAACAAGACTGCAATAAGCAATGAATGATATATTATTCGTCTATCGTTGATTGAACTTCAATAAGGGTCCAATGGACTAGAGTAACAACGGAATAGTGGGGATAAAAAGGAAAAAATAACGACAAAAATAATATTAAACTACATCTCTAAAGTAAATAAATGATATTGTTCCATTGATATCGAGTTGTAATTTGGACATTTGACAATATTATTCCATCTTTACGATGTTGTTTCGTACTAGTTATTCTTTCTAAGTAAAATAGGATTGACGTCAATTTTAATTGACTTTATACTCCATTGCATTCAAGATAAATTCTTCTTTCAAAATAAGCAGATTAATCCAGTGATTTTAATTGCTATTAGAGAATTAGACTGGATCATTAATCATACATTGATGTCATCAAAAATTTTCAAATATCTGCACAGCAATGAAAATTGGATTACTCATACATGAACAAAGTCTGTTTCTGATCTCATACCAGTCATTTCAACATGGCAGGTGGAAGTAATCCTTAATAATTATCCCTACGTAATCATGACGGTAATTTTACTTTAGCTTTCAATCTAAACGATGTCTATCTATTCCATTCATCGATTATTTAGTAAAAAAAAGTAAAAGCCTAATCTGGCTATAGTTGTCTTGCAAGTTTTCTAAGCATACCAATTTCTTGCATTTTACTGAAATTGGAAATTCCGTTAGTAAAAAATTACAAATCTATTTTTTTCTGTAGAATTACATTTTCTTTCATACTAAAGAAATTAAAATGAACATCTGGTAATAACATAAAAAAGGCGGCACAAAATGTTGTTTAGGATTAGCACTCACCTAAATACAAAAAAGGGAATTTCAATAAGTCAAACTATATATATTATTGGGTGAGTATTAATGTAGAGTTTTACTACTATTTCATCTTAAAATTGCATCCAAGAATAGGATAAACCGCTAAATTAATAGCCATTTTGCTGTCGAGTTGAGAATTTACTCTAGTAGTCGAATAGTGCAAGACCACTGAAATCTCGATGGACGCTTATGCTGGGTTTTTTTTATATCATTTTAATTTAAAATTTAACTCTAAGAATCGAATTAATTATAAAATTAATGTTGCTTTAAAATCAAGAATTGACTCTATTGGGAGAATACTGCATCATATTATAATTCGGACGGATATTAGTGATGGGATTTTTTACAGCTTCAATTTAAAATTGGATCGACGATCGTACAAAATTTACAATCAGTGGCCATTCTGTTATAAAATCAAGAATGTACGCTACCGATTGAGTTATTATCCCACTGTCAATGGATATTAATGCAGGGTATTGATATCCATTTAAATTTAAAATTGGATTAATGGCTATTTTGGCTGAAAAATTAAAAAATGACTTCATTGGTCAAATACTACATCGAGATTATAGTGTCAATGAATACTAATGCTAAATCTATCTATTATTTTCAATTTGAGGATTGGATCAACGGCCATTTCACTCTGGAATTAAAATAGGACTTTATTAGTCTAATACTGCATCATGATTAAAATGTCAAGAGATACTACTGCTGCAGCTATCTTCTATTTCAATTTGAAGATTGGATCAACGGCTATTTTTGCTCTAAAATTAAAATAGGACCTTATTAGTCTAACGCTACGTCATGATTAAAATGCCAAGGAATATTAACGCTATCCCTTTCTACTATTTCGATTTAGAGCTGGATCAAAAAATCAGATAAACTATAGAACCTGAAGAAATTCGCTATTAAGAATTCACTCTATTAGTTGAATACTATGGCGTGACTGAAATGCCAACGGATTTTAATGCCTGGCTTCCTGTTACTTTCATTTGAAATAGGATCAAAAGATCAGGTAAACTATAAAATTAATGGTCATCTCGCTGTAAAACTCAAAGAGGATCAAAGAATCAGATAAACTATAGAAATTAAAGAAATTTACGATGAAAAATCAAGAATTTACTGCCTTGGTTAAATACAGTGCCGTGATTGAAATGCCAATGGATATTAATACTGGGCCTTTCCATTAATTCCATTTAACATAAGATCAAAGAATCGGGTAAACTATAGAATCAATGACCATTTTACTATAGAATCGAGAATTTACTCTATTGGTTGGATTATTATTTCACTGTCAATGGATATTGATGCTGGGTCTTTACACTATTTCAATTTCAAAAATTTGATCGATAGCAATTTTGCTCTAAAATTAATAAAAAGCTATTGGTGGAATACTACACCACTATTCAAATATGATTGGAAATATCTTAGTCGTGATCAGTAAGTACAGTAGATAAAAGTATAGTAGACGGGAAATAATGCTAATAGTAGGCGATGGAATTCCCAGTTATTAATAGCGATGGAAGTTAAGCACAAAATAAAGTTGACATAGGTGTTTGCATTATTTGATATCCGGTCAAGACTGAGAGCCAAGACTGTGAGCCTTTCATTTAATATTAATGCATGGATGATATTATAATGGAAGAAGTTCTGGTAGTCGTGACTGATTCATTACTATTTGGGTGAATTGGTACATGGATATAGCCACGCATTTATAAGAAAATAATTAATGTTTGTAGAATTAGAATTAATAATATTATCCAGTCCTCTTTGATGATTGAATTTTTGAAATTTCTATTGATCTTGGGTCATTAATTGGCTAGAAAGAATTAAGTCAATTGGCTAGTTGTAATTAATATCGTAATTGTGAGATTACCCTCTTTTAATTGGTTAAAATATTTTTACCTTGATTAAATTAAGAGATACAGTCATCTCGATTGAGCTGGTAATAAGGAAAGATGAAATTGAATATTAAGGTTTATTTTTGATGTGACATTAATATCTCCT